TGTGGCCCGGCATTGGGCAAGAATTATATAAATCTATATTTTTATTAAAGTTTTTAATTTTTAAAAATTTAGATTAATAATTATCTCCCTTCCAGTTCCTGCATTTCTGACACAAGAGGAGACGAGATGAGACCAAATACACTGCCTCCTTTGCTAACAATGTCCCAGACAAAATTTGGTGATTTTTTTTCATTTACAATTCATTTTACCAAAAATCTAACCCTCATATGCTAAAGAATGGCAGTCTTTCCCATTGCAGACTAGTTACATTTTGATCTTTGTAGAGAGTAAGGTAGATGACCTTGATGGAGATATGCAGACTCTGTTGCCTAGGTAAAAGGGTCTAAAGCATTTTTTAAGTCCAGAATGTCCAGATAATGTTCAGAAGAGGTTCAGACATGCACACACACTTTCTGTTCACTGGAGTATAAGGAGGAGGAGGAGGTACAGCACAGTCAGACAATTCTGTTATTTTAGCCAATATCGGTAAAAGTATTCTAGCCTTCCTGGGGAGTTGATTTCCTGGTCTGGTCCACCTGGTGGGGCTGACAGTTTTTTATACCTCAAGGTAGTCTTCTCAATCTGTAACTTTTTAGTATTTTTTTTCAAGTCGTTCTTAAGATCCAGCTAGACTTCATAATTGTTTAAACAGCTTATAGTCCAAGAGGGATTTTCTTTTCTTCTACACTTCTGATTTTTGAAAGTTTACAAAACCTTGATCTCTAAGAGATGAAATGTATGAACGATGGCAAGTTTAGCAAGAAGGAGATCGCTGTAATTCTCTGTACTTCAAAACTGGGTGGAAAATCCATACTGAAATCTTTTAGGAAATTAATTAGTTTTTAATTAATTAATTAATTAGTAGGACTTTTTACTGGATACACAAAGAAGTTGGTTAAAGCTTTGAAAATCAAAGGGGAAATGCAAAAGACAACCAAGATAATGACCTGGATAATGACTTTCCACTGGATTTATAAAAGAGGTCTGTTAAAGTCTCAAAGAAGTCTTCGTGATGGGAAAAAGAAAAACAAGATCTGAATGAATTAAAGATCAAATTGTTAGAAGTAAAAGAAAGGAATATAAAGTTGGTTTGTTTGATCAAGGTTAAAACAAGACATGTTTTTATAAAGCTCTGTTAACCCTTTACGGACTTTTTGCTGACATCAGGACTGAAAGGTGATGATTTATGGTTTTGCATATAGAAGGGATGGGTTATGGGAAGAAGAAATATTTGTTTGTAACTTTATAGGGGGTGATGAGTTATCAAATTTGTTTCTACTTGTTGTGATGAAGTCATTTCTTTACATATTTCTTTTCTTTTTCTTCTTTCCTTTTTTTCTATTTTTCTTTTTCTTTCTTTGCACTACCTCTTTTTCTGAGTTTAATTTGTATTTGCTTTTACTATTGTATTTAAAATCTTTAATGAAAAAAAAGAAAATCAAAAAAAAATTAATTAGTTTCCAGTCTACCTTATAAGAGAGACAGTGGCTTCCTAGACTTTTACATGCGGAATCTGCCTCCCCCCACATGGTACCTTTTGGATATGCTGGACTACAACCCTCAGAAATCAATTGTGTTTCTGAAACTTCTTGGATGCAGGTTCAGAGAGACTCAGTAGCTCAGAAAGATATAAATAGCTACTTTAGTGACCACATACAGTAATATGTTTGTATTATCTCAGAACTGATGGGTTCTATTCAGTAAAAGATGCTTTGTGCAGGATTTATCAAGACATTTAGGACTAATATGTCATACTTCAGAAGAGTTAGATTTGATTTCCAGTAATATTCTAACTTTACTGAGGAAAAACACTTGATCAATTTAAGTAGTATAGTACTAAAAGAAGCACAAAAACAAGGGGAACACTTTAGAGATTTGACTAAATTCCTTAATATCAAATTCAGAGCAGTTCCTGAGCCTTATTTATAAACTGCTGGCAAAATACATCTGAGAAACCAAATAAGTTAAAAGACTATGTGATTAAATGGGAGCAGAATCTAGATAATTGATTTATTTACATGCAACAGAGGGAACTTCAATGGAAGAAAACATTAAATTTACTCTGACTATTAAGCCTAGATAAAACTGGTAGAAGATATTTTATTGCTGGTACTTTCTCCCTGTTCTGATAGCTAAATTGGACAGCTCATTCTCTAAAATGGCTGTAAATGTAACATGTAACAACTTCAGTGTTGTGAAGTTTAATAATTTTGGGAAATGATTTATACCAGAATGAAACAAAATCTAAAAGCTGAATATTGTTTCCAACCTGCTATTTTTTAAATTAAATGTTACTAAATCTTATATTCCTACGAAGTCTTCTGAACTAGCATTGTACATTGAAATTGCTGCAAAGTTACTCTGTGCTTCCTACTGGAAAGCACATACAGTTGCCTCTGTGAAAAAATGGCCGATTGCAGGAAGGGGCCTCAATGTCCAGAATAATTTCATATCTCAAGAGAAAATCTGATATGGAGTTTAATTCAACTTGCAAACCATTCTGGATTATAGTTATTTATACAGGCTTGTACCATATTTGAAATTTGGGTTTCTCTTAACATAAAGTCTTAATATTCTAGCTCTAAAGGACCTTTTAAATTAGAATAGTTCTTCAGTAGCTTGGATAAAATCTATTGTAAATCAATTTTACACTATTTTAATCATTGTATAACATATACTGTGCTGACTACAGGTAGTCTTCGCTTAAAGACTGCTCTGTTTAGCAACCGTTCGAAGTTACGACAGCGCTGAAAAAGTAACTTTGTGACCAGCCCTTGCACTTAAGCAGCATTCCGCAGTCACGTGATCGCCATTTGCATGCTTCACAGCCAACTTCTGACAAGCAAAGTCAATGGAGAAGTCGGCAGTAAAATCACACAAGTTGAGGTCATGTGATATCTCACTTATCGATCGCATTGCTTAGCTACAGAGTTGCCAGTCCTAATTGTGGTTGTTAAGCGAGAACTATCTATACTGCTGTTGACATTGATATATTATTTGGGTTTTAACAATGATTTGTAGTTTTCAAAATTGTATTAGTTATTTAAAACCAAGTAATAAATATTGAAAACTATAGCCTAATTCTCTGATGCTTGTAAATTCCCTGTTCACTTCATGTTTTATCTTTCTGTATTTTTTTTATCTCTTTTCTTACATCTATCTTGTTTTTTCATTTTTTTCCCAAAATGCTTAATTAAAATATAATCACATTAAAAAATAAAGAAACTTGACATTTTTGGTACCTAAGAGTTTCTTCCCTGTTATCTGTGGTGTCAAAGTTGAAATTGGGAAGAGGGTGGATATAAGTAGAAAGTTTTTGTTTTGAATTAATGATGGTCATTAAAAAGAGGTAGGTTGATCAAATCAAATCACAAATCACTTTCAGAATATTCATGGTTGACATTTT